CCCCAAAACCCCAAAACCCCAAAACCCCAAAACCCCAAAACCCCTAGTCATTAAACTAAATTGAAACCGATCTGGGTTGAAATCTTAATCTATTTCAATTTTTCAAAATCTGGTTCCTCAGAATCACTTGTGTACCTCTTCTTCAATAATACGGTGAAAACTACACCAATCATCATGAAAACAAGTAACACAAATATTGGGACACTTCCAGGCTTGACCTCAGCAACTTCTGGAGCTAAAGCACCGATGATGTGACTGAAGAACCCACAGAATGAGAAGGCAAAAGGAGAAAACAGAGATGGGAAGAACTCTGCGTTTGCATAATAGCATACCATAAATGCTCCTTCTAAGAAGAATTTGCATCCAAAGATAGATATAGCAACAAGCACCACATCCCTGGTCATAATCATTGGAAGGGAAAACATAAAAGTCATTGTGAAGAAGAAGAGGAATGTGTTCTTGGTTCCTATTATTCTTTGGGATCAACTTGCTCAGAAATTTCCCAAAATCTCTGAAAAACAAGTTGCCAAAGTGTTAACATAGATATTCCCTCCAATGTACTTAATGTAAAACCCGACCATTTGATAACAGAATCATCAAACTCAGAATAAACCAGCAATTCAAACGAGGTTTAACAATATTATCGGATTTTTAAGCTCCTCAATAGCTGAATACTGGCTTACTTCAATCATTCTTTCCGGTACCTTAACCAAAAATAAATAAAAACCAAAATCCCCCAAATCATGACCAACCCTTACCTTCTTTTCTCCATCCTTGCCACCCTCTTGCCAGTCACTTGCCTTCTTCCCTACTCCATCATGCCCACATCTCCTCAACAACCCTTCAGTTTCATTGTTCTCTTTCTCTTCAGCATCAATAAGGTACACCTCATCCATCTCAACCTTATTGAAACCAGCAATTAAGGCAATGCTCTCTCTCTGAGCTGAGACCACTTCTTCTTCTCGTACAAATACCTGGGAGACTCAGGGATTAGTAGAGAACATATAAGGGAAAGCAGGGCGAAGATTGTACCGATTATTAAGAATTTAGCCAGATTTGTAGATTCTAGAGGTTTTAAAATTGTGGTTTTTAAAGGAAATTATGTGGGAAAAGGAAATTTTGAAGATTAGCAGTTAAAGAGTTTGTATTGAGAGAGTAATAGAAAGTGAATGGAGAGGAGGGTTACCTGGATTGCTGTAGTAGAGGTAGGGAATTATCAAAAATTTTGAGAATACTGCTTCCATTGAGAGCACAAATCCGCCGTAAAAGACTTGGTATTTTAGAGGAGTGACTTCAACTCAATAAATATAAGCAAGATAACTCTTACAATACAGGAGTCCAGATATGAATAATATGATGTAAATAAGAGTAATGTTTGTACAATAGAATAATGAAAAACATCAAATTGCTTGCCCAACAGATGTAATTGTCAACATTTTCTTACTCCCAAAGTAATCAGAGTGTTTTAGAATGAGCCCATTGAAAATAACTCCCACAAAATGTGCAGATCCCAAAAATCCAATCCAAAAATCTGGATAACAATAGAGCTGAAGCTCAGTAATCCAATTTCTGAAAGAGAATTCATCTGCGTAGTCCACCCTCCATAGTTCACTATAGCATATTAATGAAATCAAAATAATAAGGAAATATTCTCGCTTCATTTAAAGATCAATATTATCCTCTAAATATTTAGCTTCAAAATAAACTGATTTCTCTTACCTGCCAATAAGTTCTTGATCTCTGCAAATATCTTGCCTTGAGCATTCAATCCACTGGTTTCCTTGCTTACACTCCAACTTTGGAACTAGCTCCAGCAGAGGAAGGGTGTAAAAGTACATTGTGGTTCCTTGGCAAAATATCAAGCCAACCAATAGGACTGCCCAACTCCAGTTTCCAAACTCGCCTGCTTCAGTAATCATCTGGTCGATATTTAGAATTCTAGGACTGGAAGCATATTTAGAAGGCTTTTTAGGAATTTTGGAATCTTTGGTGACATCCGTGGGTTTCCTCTGACTAGAAACATTCATTTTCATTTTCATTCTATTATAATATCATACTTTGGGGTTTTGGGGTTTTGGGGTTTTGGGGG